CGAACGACTTAATCGACAGAGAAGACGGCAACAGTTACGAAAGAAGGATGGTGATTTGGTCAAGGATTTTCGCTGGAGACAGTGGCTGCTCGGTGCCGGAGTGCTGCAGTTGCTTTTCTTTTCTTCCCGAACAAGCACAAACTATTCTTCACACTCTTCAACGATCAATCTCCATAAAAGAAGGACGAAGCTCTGAGCTATGGAGATCGGTTAAGCAAGAAGAGATTGCAGTAGTTTGGGGAAGAAGGAAAATGGGTGGTGGGGCGGTGGAGGTGGAAGTGGAAGAAGTGCAGTGATTTGGGGAAGAAGGAAAATGGGTGGTGGGCCGTGGGTAGTGGAAGTGGAAGGAGCAAAGGCTTCCTATCGGTGGATGTGAGTAGCTGTGTGCGTAAAAAAAAACAGAAAGAATTGAGAATTGAAAACAGAGAACTGAAAACAGAAAATAGAGAACGTTAGTAAACATGCCCTATAGTCTTTTCTCGATCTCCTATAAAATGTTTTAGTCAACTCACTGTATTCTCAACTAAAATGTTCTAATAGTCAATTCAATTTCAGACTAATTCTCACATATTTTTTGAAACGCCTGTAATGAAGTGAATTGGTCAAAGTATGTTGTAGGAAGAAAAATAAATAATGCATGTCGATGTAAGACTCACACATTTTTTGAAAAATTACAAATTTAAATGTGTAATTAAACATGTCAATTCGACAAAATTGGGAAACTAAATTTACACTTACAGGGCGTTTGGTTGAAGGGAATTTAAATTCCTTCATACTTAATTCCCACCTAATTCCAAAGGCCACAAAATTCTCTTGTTTGGTTGAAAGGAATTCCCCCATTTTCATGGAATTAAAATTTCATGTCCCCCTTAGGATTTTAATTCCTGAGGTTTTAGGAAGAAAAAAAGATAGTGATGAGTCAAAATTATCTCTTCATTTTTTAACCTAAAATTAATGCCTAACAACAACAATGGACATTTTTGACTTTATACTACTTATTCCCTTTCAATGCCCATGTATACCAAACATTGAAATTAAAATTCCCAGTAATTCTATTCCTATAAACCAAACACTAGAATTTAAATTCTCACTTTATTCTCAGTAATTCATCTCCCATGAAATTGCAATTCCTTTTCTACGTAATTTCTTCTCCCCAACCAAACGCCCTGTTATAGTTGCTTATAAGCTTATTTTACATTTCGGATATATATATATATATATATATATATATATATATATATATATATATATATATATATATATATATATATATATAACTAATTAGAATAAAAATAATATTTTTTCTTAATACAATATCACATATTAAATACTCCGTACTTTTTTTTTTTTAAAATGGTCCAAACTCCAAAATACGCATATATTATGGCAAAATGGGACAAAAAGATTGTAAGAAAAATGATGAGAAGTGTGTGGGGGGAGAAGAAGGAAAGGCGACAAAGCAGTGATTACGGAGACGCCGCGGGAGAGGGAGAAGGCACGCTTTGCGCGTGAGTGAGGGATGTGCGTTTTCCGAGGGCCCCTCCACCCCCCATACCTGCGTAGCTTATCCTCCCTTTTCCCACTGAATTTCACGCCTTTACTGTCCCTTCTAATCCCCCCAATCCCCATCCTCATTTCTACTGCGTCTACCTCAAACTCAAAGAAATTATAATATACGTTCTATACTTTTATTGATCTGCTACCGTTTAAAGAGTCAATACTTCATCATTAGAATTTGATCATGTGACATTCTCTCAACGAGGACGGTAAAAGTGTCATTTCAGCATAAGGTGATTGACAAATTATTGCTCCTTAAATTTGTCGTAAGAGATCAAATATCGAATCTTATTAACGACAATATGAGAGTTACCTCTCAAAATGATAAGAGTTTCTTGTGCGCAGTGAAAAAAAATCTAGCATCTATTAATTTGTTGGAGTCACCCTGATTTATAATTTCACAATCTTTCTTCTCCCTAAAAATTGAATACCCAACTCCAAGGGCCTTCACATCCCAGCTTGACAGAGCATTTGGGATGATGTAAATCACCGTGACTTAATAATTTAGTCGACAGGACCAAATGCCGCGCACAAGGGATCTACCCACTTTGAACATAATTTGACACTACCGTTGTCGATAATCAAACATTGATCTTTTCTCTCAAATACTGTCTAAACTCATTTAGACATCATTTCACAATTCTGTTAAGTCAGAATGTGAAAGAACTCGAATAAGTGATTTCACCTTTTTTGTCACAAGATTAATTTTGTGAAGGAATAACGCGCATGAAGTGGAATGTAACGTAGGAGTGGGGGCTGTGGGGGATATAGATGAGAAGAGATGATAAAAACACGTGGTCATAATTTGCCTGCCAAAACACTATTTGCAACGCAGCTTACTCACTCATTATCATTAAACTCTGTAACGTCTCCCCATCATTACATTTGTTTAACCAAAGTACATTCTATTAACGTTGTCACACACTATTACCCCAAACAATTATTTTTATTTAAAGGAAAACAAAATAAAAACTAAGCAAAAAAGTTAATCATTTAATTTCAAAGAGTATTACATTTTCTTTTGAAACGTCAAAGAGTATTACAATATCATAAGTAACCACATTACTTATAATTATAATTTTTTTTATACAAAATAGATTTATAACCGAATTATACATGATACAATTATATAAATCTCCCTAATTGTAATTATATCGAATGCTATAAGCATCAATACTAATAATATTTAGTACAATAAAATATACTTATATGAATATATTATATATAATTTGACATTAATATTAATCAACACCCTGAAAAAATTATAATTTCTGTCAGGAATAGGTGTAGGATTCTGGAGTTGAGAGACTTTACTTTTTGAAAGTGAAAAAATAAATAAATAAACAAAAAATTTATTTATTTATTTATTTATTTTTTCCTTATCACGTTAAGATCCATTTATGTAATAAATAGGAAAATTGTTATAAATTTTTTTAAAAGGAAATATACACATAACATATAAATTTTGAAATAAATACAAAACAAAAATAATGATAAATGGAAAGAAGATGCAAATTAAAACATAAAATTTTCAGTCTAATTACGCTTTTCAAGAATGGATCCGTCCAAACCATGTTATTCATAGTTAATTCACCCCTCGTGCAAACACTTTATCATGTCATTTATCAAATTCTTGTCTGCATAACACTTCTAAGCTATAATTTATTTAGAATAATGCTATTTTTTTCAATTAAAATTACCACCTAATATTCATCTCCATGTGACAGTATTTATAATTTTTTTAGAAAAATATTTATTTATTACTTAATTAACTGGCCAGGCTACGATTTAATAAATAGTACATATAATAATTAAATATAAAAATTAATTAATACATTAATGACTTTAGAGAATGATTTTTGCAAAAATAAAAAAATAAAAAAATTAACAACTACATTACCCTTTTTCTTCTTCTCCCAAAAGGTTGAATTTGATCTCCAACCCCAAGCTAAATGCCCTCCACACCCTGACCCAACATAGCATTTGAGAGGATGTAAATTACGATGACTCTATAGCTCAGCAGACATGACCAAATATCAGTGCGCATAAGGAATCTGTTAACTTTGGGCATAATCCTCACACTACATTACTCTTTTTGTTTATTAAGTATGAGTGTGATGATGAACCCTCATAACCCAAATTCCGAATACATTTTACCATATATTATTAATAAAAAAGGATCGTCCCGCGGGTTTGACTGATTACCATAAAGTCATGCTTCAGTGAAAATTTGAAACCTAATGTATAAATAAGAAGTGATAAAATTAATAATCGTGCACAAAAAAATGATAAAGTTAATTATTGAAAACTAAAAGTATTAGAATATAGAATTCATGAGTCAAAAAAAAAGTGAAAATAAAATTACAATTGAAATTATAGTTTGAAAAACCTGGCACACAAAACACAGACACAGAATCTTAAATTAACTAGTCCAGGTAAAAACAATTCTTTTTTGTTGGTATTTCTATGGTGATCTGATCTATCTATGACACTTTGCCAAACATTTTACAGAAAATAGGGAAATGAGTCTAAGGCTCTCACTGAAAAGTCAATTAGCTCCCTACTCAGATTTGGATCGTCTTTTCTTCCAGCTCCTTCTCTGTGACCGGCGACTATTCGCCGGTCACTTTTTTGCCTAGAGTTTCGTCAGAAGGTGACCGGAACTCTAATGACCTGTGATATCAGGTCACTAACTAATTTTTGGGTTTCATTGCATCAAAATGAATTGTTCAGAATGTAATTATACCTTTAAAAGTTTAGAGAGTTAATTAAGTTTTCAAGCTAAAGTTGGATGGCATATTTAACCTTTTTTCCTAAAAAATATTTATATTTATATATATATACTTTTAGTTTTTATTTAAAAAAATAAAAATGAAACAACTTTTACAGGGCGTTTAGTTGGAGGGGGGAATTATGTGGGAAAGGAATTGTAATTTCATGGGAGTTGAATTACTGGGAATAAAGAGGGAATTTAAATTCCAGTGTTTGGTTTACAGGAATAGAATTACTGGAAATTTTAATTCCAATGTTTGGTATATATGAGAATTGAAAGGGAATAAGTAGTATAAAGTCAAAAATGTCCATTATTGTTGTTAGACATTAATTTTAGGTTAAAAAAGAAAGGGATAATTTTGACTCATCACTATCTTTTTTTCCCGGGAATTAAAATCCCAGAGGGGGGACATGGAATTTTAATTCCATGAAAATGGGGGAATTGCAATTCCATGGAATTGCAATTCCCTCCAACCAAACTACGGAATTGAATGGCCTTTGGAATTAGGTAGGAATTAAGTGGGACGGGAATTTAAAATCCCTCCAACCAAACGCCCTGTTAAGGTTTTTTTTGGAAAAGATTAAAAAGTATTGGTATCCACACAAATATTTATCAAAAACCAGTCCCCAATATATATATAAAAGGGGTTGGTGTGGCAATGGTGTATAGAGATATATAGAGAAAGAGAGAGAGAGCAGCTGCGTTGTTTCTCCTTGTTCAATTCCTACGATCTCCAGTTCTCTAAACCTCATTTTCACTCTCTGCAACCTAGGTTTCCACTCCTGTTAAGAGAGAGAGAGAGAGAGAGAGAGAGAGAGATGGGAAACTGCCAAGCAGTGGACAATGCAAGTCTGGTAATCCAACACCCCGGCGGCGGGCGAGTTGACAAGCTTTACTGGCCGGTTCCTGCTACCGACATCATGAAGATGAATCCCGGCCACTACGTCGCCCTCCTCCTCACCACCACCACCTTCAACCCCGCCGCCGCCGCCGCCGCCGCTACAAACGACAACAAGAACAAGAACAACAACATCCCAGTTCGCATTACCCGCATTAAGCTGCTCAAGCCCACAGATACTCTCCTTCTCGGCCATGTTTACAGACTAATCACCACTCAAGGTTAGTTAATTAAGTTTCTTCTCCATCCCCCTCCCTCTTTTTCTTTCATGTATAACCGACACCAGCAAGAAGATTAGAAGAGATCGAGGATCTGTTCACCTGACCTGACCTGGGTAGATTAGATTAGATTCTCTTTTGATATGGTTTTAGTGATGGGTTCTTGGATTTTTGTGTTTGGTTCAGAGGTAATGAAAGGGTTGTGGGCTAAAAAGAATGGAAAGATGAAACAGCTGCAAGCGGAGCCAATAGAGAAGCAGCAAAAGATGAGACCAAAGCCAAGTTCAGATTCCCAGACAGGACTTATTGCAAGATCTGAGAATAAGGAGCACTGTAATCAGGTTAATATTTTTTTTTTAAAGAAAATATTTTCCAATTATTATTATATGTTATATATAATAATCTAATTATGTATATATGACTATATGTGCACAAATTTCAGGTAAAACATAGGTCAGGGGGAAACTCATCTGCAGCCAAATGCAAAGCATGGCAACCATCTTTGAACAGCATCTCTGAAGCTGCAACCTGATTTTGATTGCTATATATATATATATATGTTACTGTGTATGAGATTCTGATCTGGTGTACTTTGTGTCGATCTTAAGTTCAGGAAATGCCTAGTTTTTAATTGGTTTTGTTTCTAGTGATTCAGAGATGAGATGCAGAAATCACATCAAACAAAAAAATTGTATAGCAAAACTCTAATCATATTGTTATTGCATCATTTACTTCGCTCGCATCATTCCTAGCTTAGGTCAAACTAATCTTAAAGTCTCTAGAATTTTCGTTCAAGAGTCGCTAAAGGAGGTAATAAATTATTAGTCGCCAAACAGCCTCCTAGTCCGTCTTTGTCATTGGCTCTATTCACAAGGGATCCATCTCCACACTTCTGGCAACTTGGAGAGTCCAATCTCCAATTTAGAGAACTCAAGGGCCCAAACTCTAGTCTCAGAGCCTAGCTTCAAGATGTTGGTGGGAGTCGAACCCCACCCCAACTCTAGGTCAAGTGATCTACTACTTGAGCTAGTCTTGTAAAATCCTAGTTTCAATTTTTATAAGGTATATAATATGCCCCACTTCGGGTTGGGGGTTTGATCCCCATCCATATGAATGGAGTAAATCATTTGGCCAGTCCCCTATTACTTAGTGTGCTGACCATTAGGACGGAGGATTAGTCTTCTGACTATCTGCTAGAGAGATACCTTTGGGCAACTAAAAAAAAAATATGCCCCACTTTGCATATGCCCTACCACACTACATTTACTACAACATTTCAATATAACACTTAACAATTTTGAGTAGTACTATACATACACGTATGCATACAAAGGTCTTTAATTTGTTCTTTAAAACTGGATGGGGATGGGGATGGGGATGGGCATGGCGGTGTGGTTCACATAAAGCAAAGGACGCAAATAAATGGATTGGATTTGATTTGGATGAGTTTCACCTAACAGACACACACCAAGTTGTTGAATGGAATGGACTATTCAAAATGTGAGTGCTTTATTTACAACTTACATATGGGACAGTACAGAATTGAAGGGCACACGAATGCAGATCGAAGAATTGAAGTGAGAGGAGGGGACGACAAGATATTTGAAACTGAAAGTTAATCCTAAAGACAAAAGGAAAACAACATAGGCACAAGGCAAAAAGCATCATTTGCATGCGTGGAAACACATACTTTACTTGTTATTTCAAACAATAACATTGATGGGGCTCACCTAGTCAAAAGCTTATATATCTGCATTATTGAGCATCATATATTCATACGTGGTTAATTATGCGTTGAAAGAAATTATGGGGTATTTGGTAAATAGTTATTAGTTGATTGGATAAATGGATTTGATTAGTTTATTGCATTAGTTTATTGGAGAGAGATGTTTGGTAAATTAATTGTTAGTTAATAGCTGATTATGCAAAAAGACTTTGGTCCTGTTTGGTAAATGGGTGTTAGCTGATAGCTGTTAGTTGATTCGGTTAATTAGAGGGTATAACTAATTGATAACATTAGCTGATTGTAGAAAAGTGTTTGGTAAATTAGCTGTCAGTTGATAGCTGTTTGGTATAATTTCTTTTCTCAAAAAGCTAATTGAAAAAAGTTGCTTTGAACAGCTTTTTGAATTTTAGCATTTTTGAGTTACAAAAAACTAATTAACCAAACACTTATGTTAATTTTTAACCAAGTCAAACAATTAATAGTGGTCAAATAAGTCATAATTGACTGATAAGTTAACCTTTTTACCAAATAGGGCCTTTCTAAAAAAATTGGTTACAACAACTTTTTGAATTTTAATTTTTTGGTGCAATAAATTGTTACAAAAAGTTAATTAATTAAACATTAATATTAATTATCAAGGTTGCAAAAAATGTTAGGCGCCCCCTGGGCGCCTAGACGCCGATTTTTTTTTAATTAAAATTAAAAATTATGAAATTCACTAATAAAACATAAAGTTCCTCTAATTTTTTCTTACAAATTATTTACATAAGTGGTTGTAAAATTGTTTTGAATATTGTTGAAATTATCTTTTTCTTTTTTTTTTGAAAGTTACTGGCTCTATTACATTGTAGTATCTGTTCATATACTTTCTCAACCTACTGAAACACAAAGAACTAATAACGCCTCCACTGCGGCTCGAACTTATAACCTTCCAAATGGAAGTCCAACCCGGATACCATTAGACCACATAGTCCTGGTGAAATCATCTAAATACATAAAAAATTAAAATTCAAAATATTGTTGAAACCTTCCCGAACTTTTAACACTTTAAAACTAAAAAATAAATAAATAAATAATTAATTAAAAAACGGCCGAACCGGCCAGCCGCGGAGGAGGCCGATTCCGGCCTTCCTCGCGGCGGCCGATGGCCGCCTAATGCCTAGGCGCGATTTTTGCAATCATGTTAATTATTTAACCAAGTCAAACTGCTAATAGTGGTCAAACAATTCAAAATTGACTGATAAGCTAACTATGTTACCAAACATGACTTTGATATGTACTGCAATATCTGGCAAATTATATCGTGCACCGCGGTGCATAATCGATTATGCACCGCGCATCAAAACGACGTCGTTTTGCTTAATAATGAAAAGAAACGGTATTCGTTTCGCGTCGTTCCGCACTCTTCCGCAAAAAGAAACTTTGCTATTCAATTTCATTTTGTATACACTACAATTTCAGTACAACACAACTACAGTTTCATTTCGATATAACTACAGTTTCATTCAATATTTATAGACTCAAATATGTGAAAATGTTATTTAATTTTATTTTATAATACACTATAGTTTTTTTAAAACACAACTACATGATCGTTTTGATATAATTACAACTTCATTGTACAATATACACTCAAATATGTGAAATGTTATTCAGTTTCATTTTATATACACTGCAGTTTCATTTCACCATAACTACAGTATCATTTTGATATAACTGCAGTTTCATTTGATAATATAAAAATAATACGTGAGGTAATGTCGGTTTAGATACACTGTAATGTCAGTTGGTAATTAACATACAAAAAATTGCGCGCTCCATTAACACTAACGGCGCGCCGTTTCTTTACTTAAAGAAACGACGTCGTTTTAACTGCGGTGCACGTGCACTGCAGTCCACGATATAACGACTGTCAGCCTATGATATAGGCCCGCTTCAATCACTAATGCCCCTACAATGATATGATTTTATTTTTCAATATTATTTAATTACTATGCTGTATTAAATTATATTTTTAAAAAAACAAAAAAATTGCCCTCCATAACCATTCACATCTCCATCGCCTTCCCTCCACCACCATTGCCAACCACTGTCATCCCTCTCCTTCACAATTGGACTTATTTGGGATAAACCTTTCCTCTTCAATTTTATGTTTTTCAAATCTATAACCACACTTTTGGTCTATGAAATTGGTCAACAATAAAATACAGAATTCTTTTTTGGCATCAACCACACGTTGTGGTCCGGGTCTTTCTCTGTCCGTTCAACGGTCCAAGTCCACCCGGTTCGCTCCGAGAGGCACAGAAGCTGGCCCAAAGGAGAACATCACTTGTGGAAATTGAAACCAAGTTATCCCGAAATTCTCCCCCACAAAGAGAGCTCATTTGCCACTTGAGCTACCCTGTTGGGTTTAAAATACAGAATTCTTACACCTATTATATATATATATATATATATAGCTTTGCACCACTATATATGTATAAATAAATGCACCACTCAAAACCACTACGTTTGTAAAGTGCACCACTCTATGCATTTCTGAACACGTGGTGGTACATTTATGCATACATAGTGGTACAAAGTCGAACGATCACACAGGAAGCAGTAGCCGCATATGAACCAACTTTATATATATATATATATATATATATATATATATATATATATATATATATATATATATATATATATATATGACATGGCTTGTAATTATTAAGTGCCATGAATTAGATGCCCCCACTAACTTTTAATAAATTAAAAAAAAAAAAAAAGTAGAGTAACCAATCAAATAATGTCATGTTATGAAGGAAATTTTTTTAGGAGTGAGTAGCATTACTCTATATTTATTTATTGTGTGTGTATGTGTGTAACTTAGAGAGGATGGGGCTAAACCTTAAAAAAAATGTACAAATTAGAGAGGCCGGCATAACAAATCCTCAAAAAGATTGGAAGGAATGCTTCACATATCTACTTCATAAATATCTTACTTTATAATGCATTATAAAGAATCTTTGGAACAAAAATATATTTAAACATCACATTTCAGTATTTAAAATTTACACATTATGTTAGGTCTGCAAATATACCTGCACAATTTTACTATTTTACATGCATTATTTTCAAAACTTGAACCCATGGCCTAGCATGTAGCATCCAAGGGGAGGACTGTATTATTAATGCACCCACACCAACCTTCTAACACAACAACATATATTTATTTAGTCTATATCAAATCCAATGCACCAGATTTTATGATTGAATATCTTCCCAAAATATTTTTTTCCCTCTAAAAGAAAAACCCTCATAAAGATTCCTTCAATGAGCCCACTAGCAAAAGCAACCCCAATAACTACAGCATAAACCTCAATCAAGCATTTTAAAAGGTGGGTCATTAGACCTGGAGTTGAACCAGTCCACATTCTAATAGTAAATGACAAATGGTCCAGCTTCCTCCCTTGTATTGTAGACCTCATAACCCCACCCTGCAGTAGACTATACTTTCTCAGATGCCAATTAAAGTTGGAAAGGTATCTGCTTAATCATAAGACCTGATTTCAAGCAAAAACAAAGACAATTCTTTTTTTTTTTCCTGTGACAAGGGAAACCCGCAGTCACTATCTTAAGGTGTGTACTGGGTAAACCCCACCTTGTGATCTTAGCCGGCAAAGGACCAAAAGGAGATAAACAGCTAAACGGCTCAAACCAAAAGGGTTGGTTACAAGTTTGTATCTTTAGTCGTCTTGACTAGGGTAACTCAAAAAACAAAGACAATTTTGTATATATGAAAGAATGAATAGAGAGCTGAGCAAAGCTTTAGAGAATACTTTGTGGTCATCATGCTTTGTACATTTTTGACTTTGAGCAATCATATCAGCCAACTCTGTTGCATTGGGAGAAGTGGAATCATTTCTCCTCCTAGTTTCCATTAGATCCTTCTTTCCCTTTTTCTGATATGCCCTTCAAGAATAAAATAAAAAGTAGCTTTTCTCTTCTTTTTCTGTCCCTTTTTTGCTACTGTATAATATACTGAACAAGATTAGCATATACAAATTGAATCTCTATTGAGAAACTTGATCTTCAAGAACATAAAAATCAATCCCAGATAAACATATTTTACTTGAAATGGAAAAGAGTGAAGTGGCCCTATAAAGTAGAGGAGCTAGGGCAGTAACAGGTACACTTGATATAGAGGAAACTTACAGCTTGTTTACAACTTGAGGATGGAAGTTGTAATCAATCAAACCCAAATCTGACCATTAATGTAATGGTGGTCCAGCTTCATAAAGCAGGCATATCATCTCTGGTGATGGGAGCTTCATTTAATTTGCAATTCTCTATTCAGATGGGTGAAAGAACTTGTAACTAACCAGTAATCATTGCATCTCAAGCATCTCCACCTAAACTTTCAGAGGCCTTAAACCATTACAATAATGTTTTCATGGTGTAGAAGAATACTTTTAATTGAATAAAAGTGTGTTGCACAACAATCTTCACCAGAAAAAGTGGTTCCTATCCCCTCCCCTTTGGGCCAATTAAATCTGGCAAGCTCTCAGTGCCTCAGCTGTAAATGTGTTTAATTCAACCAGGTGGTAGACTTTTGGGCCTTATTGCCAAGATTTGGAAATCATTCAGAAGTATTCTGGATGAAACCTACTTGAATTCTTGTCAGCTCCAGATTCTGGCATAGGAAAAAACAAAAACAAAAAAACATAAAAAGGAATGAGTTGGGAATTTTCTTTATGAGCGTTTAAGCATGGCAGTATATTTGTAGCTTACAGTATTGCTTTCTTTAATAATTGTATGTAGAATATCTACTCCACAAGTCAGAGATAAAGGACCATTTTCTTAAGATTCACCATTTCATATACCATTGGGCTACATGCTACACTCAAATTTGACTACTAGGGGCAACCACAGTCAAGTTGGTCAGGTTGTTGACTTGCTAACCACAAGGTTACAAGTTCGACTCCCGGGAGAGGCTATTGGCCTTCTTGGTTTGAGCCGGTCAGCTATTGGCAACCTAGGTTGGTTTATCTCCTTGTGGTCCTTTGCCGGCTAGGGTCACAAGTCGGGATTTACCCAGTTCACACCCTCAGGTAGTGGTTGCGGGTTTCCCTCATCGCCAAAAAATAAAATATCTAAAGATGATTCATTGGTTGAAAGAGAAGCCAGAGAAAAAGGGAAGCACATATGAAACCTACCCAAACTCTGTTCATGAACCCTGACAGATCAAGAAGGTTGACCTGATAACATTATAAGTCAAATGAAATGGAGCAAATTTGCTCCTTATTTGATCAAGGTTCTTCCATTTCTATTGACTAGACTAACTCTGGATTTCAACAGAAAGAAAGAAGAAACATCTGTTTTTACCAAGAAATCGCTAATTAGTATCTTAAAATCATAAAAAAATGGAGTGATTCAGCTTTGGAGCCCCAATGCATCTGACAATACACAACTATACAGCTATGTTGCTCCTAAACTTTTTAGTTGATAGCTTGTATGGGGTTCTTGAGTATTTCATTCTACTTATTTTAAAAAAGTAACGAGTCATGGCTGGAATTTACATAAGAAACTTAACAATTGAACTGGTACACACAACACTGCAAAAGAATATCACCAGAATCATTAAGTTAAGAAGAACTTGAGTAATACTAGTACCTGGCAAGAAGCTCAGATAATGCTGAAGTGGAAAGTGAAATGTGCTACAAAAGATGCCATCCACCAAATTTGGAAAATCAGAAATTGTCGTAACAGCTTATATCCGAGTGCAAAGCTTTAACTCCATATTCAATATTGCTTGATTGCATTGTATACAGTTCACTCTAAAAATGCAAAGCTTGAACTACAATACTCTATAGTATCCTGTTAATAACATTGGTCTTGATCATTCTTTATTTGTATCAAATGCTTTCAACACTGCAAAGTAAAAACTACCAATAGTCATTGCATAAACAATTTCCTCCTCTGAAAGTGTGGAAACGAGAGCGGTCTCTCACAATAATTTCTCTTTTATAAACTTTTGAAATGGCCTTCAGAGCAGAATGACAATCTTCACAAGTTCTCAAATTTTTAACTATGCGGATAGTAGTCCCAGACATAGTACTTAGCAGTCCATAAGCAACAGCTAGCTTCTCACTATGCCATGCCACGGCATGCTCCTTCTCCTCTTCAATAAGATCAAATGATACATGCATGGTATTAGCAACATAACCTGCTTCACGAGCCTTGTTCAATACTTCTTTTAATTTTTCCTGAATTTCTAAAATCTGTGGGTGCAACTTTTCAGCAACACGAAACTCATGAACAACACCATTCACTTCAATCCAGCTATAACCAATATCGGGTTGATTTTTCCTCTCACCCATTGTCTTCCTCAGTTCAATAACTTTCTCCCATCTCCCTAGAGAAGCATACAAGTTAGAAAGAAGCACCTCACCTCCACTAGATCCACAAGATCCAAGGTCCTTAATATAGTTTATAATGCTCTCTCCAAGATCAGCATTACGATGAATTCTACATGCACTGAGCAAAGCCCTCCATAAAATAATATCAGGTTCCATTGGCATGCTTTGGACTACTTCAAGTGCCTTCTCCAAGTAACCAGCACGGCCAAGTAAATCGACATAACAGCCATAGTGCTCAATCTTGGGTTCAATCCCCCATGAGCTCTCCATATTATAGAAGACTGAGGAACCCTCTTCCACAAGACCTGAATGGCTACAACCATTTAGAACTCCTAAAATTGTCACTTTGTTTGGACTGATTTTTTCATCTAACATCCGATTAAACACATTGAAGGCTTCTTTACCAAGTCCATAAATAGACAGCCCAGATATCATACTCGTAAAATTGTGAACATCTGGTCTTTTGATTTTATTAAATACAAATTCTGCACAATCTATTCTCCCACATTTTGCATACATATCAACAAGAGCAGTGAATACATTTGAAGTATATGGAATTCCACTTTTGTCAATATAACTGTGAATCCAATTACCCTGTTCCAAGGCTCCTAGATGAGCACAAGCAGAGAGAGCACAAACAAGAACAGCCTCATTAGGCTTTACCTTATACTCACTGCCAAACAACATTTCACGAAAACATCGTAGAGCTTCCATGTACCTCCCACTTCCAACAAAACCAGAAACCATTACAGCCCAGGAAACATCATTGCGCACTGGCATTTTACCAAAGGCTTCAAGTGCTCGGCACATCTCTCCATTTTTTGCATACCCACATACTAAACTAGTCCATGAGAACACATCTCTCTCAGGCATTTCATCAAACACCATGCAAGCGTCATCTGTTCTCTTGAAAATGCCATACATATTAACCAACGAATTGGCCACATACAAATTCGCCGCATACCCAATTTTCATCACTAGTCCATGTGCAATTACGCCATGCACCAACGACATTTGGTGGGCACATGATGTGATGAGGAAAGTGAATGTGTACTCATCAGGAATAACCCGAAAGGGGTGGTCTAAAGCTAGCATTTTTCGAAAAATATTGATGGGTTCAAGAGAATTTTGAAGCTTAGAGTAAGCTCGGATCATGAGATTCCATATCAAGATTGGCGGTGTGGGCAAAGGGTATTTGTTGAACAAAACTCTAGCAGAGAAAAGGTCGTCGGCGAAGTGATAGCAGTGGATAAGAGAGTCGGTTAAAGAAGGGTGTGAAGAGAGTGATAAACTGAGAATTTGGGCATGAATTTGCTTGAGCTGAGATATGGGTGGGCGTTGGATTAGCAGCTGAGAGAGTGATTTTACAGTTGGATGGAAATTTGAGTTTGCATTATCAAGAATGGGAATGGCGGGAAACGAAGTCGATGAAGAAAATTTTGAAGGTTTAGGGAAAAGTAAGGCTCTGGTTCTTGATAGTCCCCGCATGGGAGTGTGCCCACTGCCCAGCAATTCACAAACAGGAAAGAGCGATGATAAAAGATTGGGGGGATATAAAGTATCATCTCTTCAACTATTCAAACAAAATGTTAGAAATGTAATTAAATTATTGAATTATAAAAAAAATAAACATAAAATAAAAAAAAAAAACCAACCAACTATAAGAAATTTATGTTTGTTTACCTCATTGTGGTATTTTAGTTACTAAGTCACAAGACAAGTTTTACTCGAAGCACATTTTCAAGTAACAGAAGTAGTGTCTCTGGTAACATTTTTTTTTTTTTTTTTAATTAGAAACAATCGAGAAATATTTTCGAAACGAAGTAACACTACCCAACAAAAATTTTCCTACACATGTACTAATTGAGTAATGTCATGGTTCAAGTGATATAAGATAACTATGGTTATATTTGTTTGGGAATATAACATTTTCATGTTTGGTTCAGGTTATGTAATTTTCTCAATGAATGTCACATAACCTCCACATTAGGGGATGGTTGGTTCAAGTTATCCAATATAACCAAGTGAATGTGACATTCCTAAGTTTACATTCCCATGTTTGGTTAATGTTATCTTACTTTTCCAAGGAAATGTAACATTCCCAAAGGAAAGCAATATACCCTCCACATAGGATTTTTAACGGAATGTGATTCTCTTACATTTCTTAGGTTATCTAAGATTACCATGTTTAAACATTTGGAAGGTTGTGAGTTCGAGCCTCAGTGGAGGCGTTATTGGTTCTTTATATTTCAGTAGGTTGAGAAAGTATATGAACAGATATTACATTGTAATAGAACCAGTAGCATTCAAAAAAAAATCATGTTTAAATATTTTTTTCCTTTTAATTCTAATTATTATGAAATATATATTTTATGTGGACTTATTAATTATTATATGCATCATTTTTAATTGTTTTTCTAATTATATATTTTATTTTATTTTTTATTACGTCATATTAACTTATAAAATAATTTTGTTTCACAAGTTATGTTAATTAATTATTTTTAAATCATGTAATTATATATGATACCATATCTTATTTATTTATTTTAATTTAAACGTTTATTCAAATACATGAAAATATGTTAAGGGTATTAAAGTAAAATTAATAATTATAACATAAAAGATAACCCCTAAACCAAACAAGTTTATATTACATACCCCGATGTTAACCAAACACATGAATCTAACATTCCCAGCAATCTAACATTCCCTAAGGTAATCTAACATTCCGTGAACCAAATGGCCCCTAAATTTTTAGCTATTGAAAGGGAATGTGAGATACCCTCCAATTTCTTTGGTAATCTCACATTCCTTTGTCTTATTACTAATTTTGGGCTTTTGGCATTTTAATCAATTTGTCTTTACATACCCAAGTTTCGCAAATTATGTCGTGGAAACGTGTTCACCATGCTTTGTGAACACGTACCAAAACGGCATCGTTTTTATGGAAAAAAAATAGTTAATGTGCTGTTAACGGCGTTTTGCATTCTATATTCAGATTATGAATTTATATTTATTAAATTATGAATTTTCTATTATGAGATTATGAATTTACAGAGTGATGGAAGAGGGATACCCACAACCACTAAAAGCAAAACGATTAGAATATAATTGTGTTGTATTCGATAATAATGTGTGAGAGTATAGGGATCGAATATATAGAGATACTAGATAGAATCATGGTCTATCACGAATTATATAGTCCTAGTCTAATATGGATAATAAAGTCCTAATAAAAACAACCCTTCATGCCGCATGAGGGTGATTCATTTTTTGAAAACATGAACATAAATATATTACAAATTTATTTCTTACAAAACATTACTCATTTTAATGATAATAATTATTATTATTTATAGAGAAAAGGGTCAAATAGACCCCTAAACATTACCCTAAAGGTCAATTAGCCCCCTAAACTTTATAAAAGGTCAATTAAACACTCAAACATACTAAATTTGATCAATGAAGCCCAAAAACTGGTAAATGACCTGTTTTTACCGATCATTTTAATTCCGGCGACGAAATCCGGCCACCGGCGAATTTTTCCGGCGGCCGGCGAATTAATTTTCCGGCCGTCCGGTCGTCTTCCACCGGAGAAGACGACCGGACGGCCGCCTTCTCCAGCCTTCTCCAATGGAGAAGACGGCCGTCTGGTCGTCTTCTCCAATGGAGAAGACGACCAGATCTGGTCGTCTTCTCCACTGGAGAAGGCGGCAGACGGCCGCCTGCAATGGAGAAGGTAGCCGTCCGGTCGTCTTCTCCGGTGGAAGACGACCGGACGGCCAGAAAATTAATTCGCCGGTGGTCGGAATCCGTCACCGGTGGCCGGATTTCGTCGCCGGAATTAAAATGACTGGTAAAAACAGGTCATTTATCGGTTTTTGGGCTTCATTGATCAAATTTAGCATGTTTGAGTGTTTAATTGACCTTTTTTAAAGTTTAGGGGGCTAATTAACCTTTAGGGTAATGTTTAGGGGTCTATTTGACCCTTTTCTCTTATTTATATTAAAATAAAATTATACATTATAAATTGTAATAGTTATATAGATTAATAATTATAATAAAAAGATGTAAATAAATAATTTTTAACTTATAATAATAATAATAATAATAATAATAATAATAATAATAATAATAATAATAATAATAATAATAATAATGTTAGATACCCCTCCTATTTTGAGTTCTACTACATGTACTCCTAAATTTTACTCCCTCAAATTTACTCCCTTATGTAGCGGACTTTGATATGTTATTTTCTTCATGTGGCCCCTGTAAAAGTGTCTACATCAATATTTTAAGTGTGGGAGTACAAGTAGGGAATATGGGATGGGAGTACATGTAGTATTTTCCTCCTATTTTTTACCTCCAAATTCATCTTTCATGATGTGTCATTAGTTAATTGGTTACTAATTTTATTTTTAAAATTAGTATTAGGTTAGCCAATTCATGGCACCCAATGAGTGGAAGCCTCATCATGAGAGGTAAAAAGCATTTTCTTAAAAATAAATACATAAATTGGTTAATATAATAACTTTGAGAATACAAATTTTTTGACAATCGTTATATCGTGCACCAGGGCGTACAATGCATTGTGCGCACGCCCTGCCCAAAACGACGTCGCTTTGTTAAGTTATGTGGAGAGTTGACACGACAGAGTTTATGTGTATTCTGTTATACAATTATGTACATTCTATTATACAATTATGTACATTCAAAACAGTGGATTTTTTAAGAGTTTATGTGTATTATGTATTATGTTAGATTATGTGTATTATCCTTTCAAAAAAAATTATTGGTGTGTTTGGTTCGCACATAGGAATCGAAATCGAAATCGAAATGGGTATTAAATACTTGGTAATGGTAATGAGTTTTGGTGAAAGTATTTAACATGTTTGGTAGTAGAGTGGAATGTGAATGATTACTAATAGTAGTGTTTGAGAATGAATAAAGGAATGAAACCCTTATTTCATTTGGGTATGAGTTTTTCAATTGATGGGGTATTCGAAACCCATAGTAGTGTCCTAAAAATGTATCAACCAAACAACAACAATCACTTTCATACCCATTCATATGAGCAAAACCTACCAACCAAACACACCTTATATGTATTATGTTAGGGGTTTATGTAAATTCTATTATACAATTATGTACATTCGAAACATTTGTTTTTTATTAGAAGTTAACAGCAGACACGGAAAACGAAATTTTCAAAAAAAAAAAAAAAACAGGTACAAAATGACGTCGTTTTAGGTCAGGCTGCACAATGCATTGTGCGTCCTAGTGCAAGGTATAATTTGCTATTTTTTGAGATGTGGGTTGGGATGGGTCTAGATTTTATTGTTTGGTTTGGTCAATCAGGCTTAACTCATATTTAATACGAAGTATAAATTTGATAAAAGTAATAATTCTGAAATCTGAACTAGAGAAATTGAAGAAAAAATTTAAATTTTTATTTACTTTTTGGGGTTGTAGCCTGTCAATATTTTTATTGTTTGATCCGGTCCAATGTAATTCATATTTTAATTGGCAAGTGATAAATGTAATAAGTCTAAGGAAATTAAAGGAAAAAAAAAAAGACTTAGATGTTTTTTTAATCTTTTGGATTATAGACTTGGACCAATCGTTATACCTTGCACCATGGCGAGCGCAGCACTGTGCGCCCGCGCCTCCCAAAACAACGTCATTTTGGAAAGCGCGGAAGGGAGTTGACGTGATTATGTGTATTTGTTTATATCATTATGTGGATTTGTTTATACAATTATGTGTATTTTTTTATACAGTTATGTGTGTTTGTTTATACAATTATGTGTATTTTTTATACAATTATGTGCATTTTTTAATACAGTTATGTAAAACGACAACGTTTTGCATCAGGGCGCACAATGCAATGCGTGCCCTAGTGCACGATATAAATTGCCGACTTGGACGGGTTGGACTAAGATTTTTATTGATTTGCCTAGTTCGATCAAATTCATATTTTAACCGGTCTAGTCCAATCCAGTTCAAATAATAACCATACAAATGGTAAGTCAACTTGCCCATTTGACACCACTTAGAGGGAGCGAAAGAGAATTGAGCGTGAGATAGAATTCTGAAAAATATCTTCTCAAGTAAAAGTCTTGGAAGACATTTTATCCCAAAACTGATCATTCTAGAATGAGTATTCCGTGGTGACTTCATTTTCCACTAAACATTAGGAAATTAGAAAAGTGACTTTCAAAAGTCATTTTCTTAGTTTCCAAATAGACCGTTAATCTCTCAATTATTTGCAATGTAAGTATAGATTTAATATCTCAATTATTTACAATGTATAACTATAGTCCATAACTTCTAGGTAAAAATAGCAAGTTTGGTCCCAAAACTTCAATGAAACCTTAATTTAAGAGATTAACTTTGTCACTTCACTATAAATTTAAAAACTAAATTTACAATATTAATACAGAAAATCTAATTTAAAGTCACAAATAAGAAAGTAAAAGTGTTATTTTCTCATATTCTCTCTATGTTGATTTGCATATCTTCTTCACTAATAACTTCTAATATGAACTTAA